GTGCGAAACGGAGAATTGCGTTTCTGCGGCAAAGTTTATCAAAATCAAACTTATCGAAACTTTTGTAAATGAAATAGAAAATGAGTCCTCGTTCTTTACGAGGAGACTAATGGCGTGTAACCCGCTTTTCCCGACAACAAAATCAGCAGACCGCGTTGTTTTGTCTACTTTCTGCTCGCGGTTCCGGCATCCAAAATAAAAAATGAGTGAAATCATAAAATAAATATCCGTCTTATAAATTGAATCGCGAGAAAGGATCGGCAATTATTTTCCACGTGTCCAGACGAAAAACAGGATTCCCTGTCCGGACATCGAATAACGTTTCCTTTTAACGTTGTTTTCATCCATATTTTCTACAACTTCATTCAAAGGTCACTTCGCGACGCATTCCTCTCACCTGAATCGTCATCGCTGTCGAAGAGTACCGATGGGACAATCGTGGAACAGTACCTGTTGTACGAGGAACCGCGTTTTTGCAAGCTATCCCGATGGAAAGAAAATACGTGAATAAAAGGTTTTGGCGTGCAACCGGTTTCACCGGGTCAGCCAAGGAATCTCTATGAAATTAAACGTCCTCGATAAAAATATTACCTGTCTTCCGTTGTTTCGCCAATAAATTAGACAACTTTCTACATCATCGAATGAATAAATAAATGAACGTATCGGCTGTTCGTAAATATAGTTAGACGTTAGCGTCTCAATGAATTCCAATTGAAAACTCTTTGAGAATTAAAAGAGATTCGTCCCGATGAACGAGCGTTCGTTTAAGAATATTCTAATAACTTTACAGCTATATTCATAAGAGAATAAATTATGGCGATACACGATACGTTATCCTTGTTATAAAAATAAGGGTTGCTGAAGCAACAACGATTGATTATCCTGAAACCGTAAAGTGGCACCGAAATAAACCTTTCAAGATAATTATACAATCACCTGTACTCTCGAACGAACCGATTAATTCCCCTCCAATAATCTGTTTACATTATACAAATTAACGACAATTGATTAACCTCGGAATCGTGTTACGGTACCGCTTCAAAATACGTTTCTCGAAATAATCGAACCGCTGACCGAACGAAACAAACATTATAACGTCGTAATCTGTTCAGCTTATTACGAATTAATAACAATTGATTAAGCTTGTTCGTAATGTTACCACGAAATTATTTCATAATCTACTAACGTTATATAATTTTTCCATATCGTTTGATGAAAAGCCTCGTTGGTACCTTTCGTAAGAGGAGGAGAATTATTTTTGCGCAGTCTGGTGCATCGTCGAGACCAGCGAGCGTCGAAGAGAAAGCAAGATAGATACCTCGCGGAATACCGAGCCTCGGATACCGGATATTGTAAACCGACCTTCACCGCGAAATCTGTATATCAACCTTCGACGCGGCCGACTCGAATTGGCGGGAGTGTGCACTCGTTTAAAATTGCACCGCCGCATTCGGCCTTCAATGCCTTGAAAAGCAGATTAAACTTCCCTACTATGTTTCCTCTAACTCGCTTCAACTTGTTTCGCTTAGCTAAAAATTCAAAAAATAATGAAATGTTTGATAAACGAACACGCATTGTACAGATTATCGCTTTCTAGAGAACATAATATTTTTGGAACGAGATATCGAAGCGTACCGGACTAGTTATGTAAACCGATGTAACACATTCCGTTTCGATAAAAGCTTTTTAACGAAGGCAGAAAATTTTTCACCAATGGAAACATAATACCGCTTCGTAAATAAATAATCGATGTGCTTTTCATTCAGAATTTAGTTTCGTTTTTTGTGCATAAAAATTTCAAATAAGACTAATGAGAGATCAAGATCGTCATCCGTATTTATCCTTTTCGTATATTTCCCCGTGTTGCAATAGGATAATCGTCGAAAATAACCAGAAAAATTATGCAAACAATATTTTTCCTCATTTCGATCAGACTGATCGATTCACTCTTCGTTAGAAAAACGATAGCAATTCCAAGAAAAATATTAGTAGTTTGCGAACTGGAAAAACTATCGGTACCTATACAAAATCAATTGGCGCGTTTGTTTTTATCGTATATTTCCATACGATGCAATAAAAATGCTTGAATCTAACCACGGAATTTGCATAAAAAATATAATAAAGTTTTCCTTCTCGGTTATTCTCCGAATAATTCGAAACGTTGCTTACACAAAATTTCATTTTTCTTCCGATTTTTCTTGTGATTTCAGATGACAAATTTCATTCCATTTTCACGGAAAATTATTTTCAAACAAGTTGAGATATCTTTCCCTAACGATGATGGGGTGAAATTGCATCCTGTCGCGATTTCCGAAACGCATCGAAAGTAGAAAAGAAAAAAAAAAGAAGCTGGGTTCGTCTGGCGAGTCTCCTTAATACGAATCATACGACTTGTTTATTGATTACGGGTCGCGAGTGCGAATACACGCACACACGTTTACTTCCGCACGCGTACAGACGTAACACGCAAGTACGTGCACGTTCGTGCAAACTCATTAACGTAATTAATGATACGAGAGACCGTTTCAGTAACAGCCGGCGGAATAAATAAGCGATAATGTTACGTAGATGCAAGCGATCAATCCTGACGTCGCGCGATAAGGAAATAAAAACGTGGTAGCGGTTAAAAAAAAAAAATGAATCGCAGTCGTGTGCTCCACCACGAAACATAAAAAATTTCTGAATATGAATCTAGGATCGTGTTTGAAAAAAGTGTTACCACTTTTCTCCGCCAGGATAGGTTAAAAAAAGAAAGAAGAAAAAATGGAAAAAGAAATGTTTGACGAACGTTTAAACGTTCCGTCGAGGAAGATGGAACACGCGACGACCATTAATGTCAAATCGGCTGCGATTCTGCGATCGATTCGCGATTAATCCGAACCCTCGCATGCCATCTTTCTTTCCTTCTCTATCTCTGAACGCGAACGAAAGGAATCAATCCGATGCCGTTCGATTGTTACACATGTCTTTTGATACCGTCTGCTCGACGAACTGATGCACGTTCCACGATTTATCTGATTTATGCAAGTTCAAACGAAGCTTTAATACCGCTGCTTCGTTTAATTACCAAAGACGAGAAGATTAATTAAATGATCTTGAAAGAGCCCCCGATGTAATCAAGAAGATGCGTCTAACGTTTCTAAAGTAATGAAATTTTTAATCAGAGCACATGGTTTTTCTGTTTTACGTGCCCTGCCAGCACGTCTTTTTCTAAAACTTGCTTAGTCGCGTGCTGGTTTCGCGGCTCGCCGATCGTTCACCGTCGTTATTGCAACAATTAACGCTCGCGGTCGAACTGTCCGCGTGGCTGTCGTATCTTTTTTCCGCCTGGAGGTTCAATAACACTTGTCACCGCTGAAACCGTATCGTCCGTGGACGAGCAACAAAAGCGAGCGTGTCTACCGCCGCGAATAGATACGTGCTCTTTCCCTTCGGTTGGCAAACAGCGGAATACAAGGCTCGAAAGAAAGAGATATTAAAGAAAGCGTGGGCTCCGACATATTAATAAACGAACAGGCTAAGATAATCCGTCGATGCGTCAGTGCACCGAGGGAAAAAAACAAAAGACAGCCTGAAAGAGGCACTCGCGAACGGACCGGCGCGGCGTATGTATATATACGGGCAAGCGTTGACCGACCGCGGATAAACGAAAGAGTTGGAGTATAAAGAGCGAGGTAATTAATCCGATAAAACGGAGAAACACTTTGTTGTAACGTTGCATAACGCGAATTCCGTAATCAAGAGATGCGCCGCCGTTCGTTGTTTTCATCGTAACGCAGCTGGACGTGATAGCAGTGATTCCGAGGGACCGCGTGTCGTCCACGAGCCTCTTAATTATGCTTCTGCATTATGTTTGGAATTATTTCCATCCCGATTCGTTTTATACTTTCAAGACTTCTTCGATTTCTTGCTAGTCTAGCTAAGAGAGAAGCTGTTGAACTTGAACTTCATCCTTCGCTTCGATTTCTTTCTTCTCGAGTTTGCTCACCTCGGATAGAAACTCTCTAAGTAAAGCAAGTGTCTTTGTGGTTTTGTGGCGGTGATACCGCGGAGAGATTTTATCCAGGTCCTGCCAATGGACACTTGACTTCTCGGTACTGTTTTCTATCAGGTGCGTGAATCAAGCTCGGCTTTTCATTGATACAGTAATTCGAATGACTATCTGGTTATCCAACATTCTGTGATTCTAAATACAGGATCCGAACCTGTTGAATAGAGTCGCTGGAATCATTTAGACTTCTTTCGTATTCAAAGAGAACGAAGCGAGACGAGAAGATGGGCGGGAAGGTAAGACGAAGGAAAGAGATAGAAAGCGGACTTTTTTTGACGCGGACAGAAGGGCAGGGAGATTCGACATCGCAGATACAGAGAGGAACACTTCATAAATCATTCGCAGGGACGTGTATCCCTGCGTTCATCCGACCTGCATAACAGCCGTTGAACTTGCGAAGCTCGAACCGGACGTATCTGACCATGCGTGACCAGGAACGTGGTCGATCCAACGTGGTAGAAAGCGTACGCCCGGTGAACCGATCCGACACAATGTTTCAAACCGCGCGAATGTTACTTTGGCCGGGAAAGAAACGCGATTAGCTGGCCGTAGATTAAACGCGATACGATCGGGCTTCGAACGATCGTTCGTTGCCTCGACAAGAAGACACATGACAACCCCTGATTCCCTCTTTTTTCGTTTTGCGAATCGAATCAACCAAATCAGGCTGAAACTTGACGAAGCAAGACCTGCGTTTCCGTGCAGTTCTCCCACTTTCGAAAGAATTAACCCAAAGGAACCTTTGTGCTAAAACCTCGAAGACAGATTAGATAATCGATGAAAAATTTCGGTACAAAGGCGTAGATACATAGTAGGTTCGAGCCTAACGACGAATCCGGTCGATCGGATGCCGAACGATTCCCGTTAGCGAACAAAGAATAAAACCGGACGCTTGTTACTTTTCACGAGCACGCATCGATAAAGGTTCGTTCGACTTGTCTGATTGCAGATACTGGCGCGCCCTACGTATTGTACAAGGACAACATGGAGAGACCCCAGGGGCAATGGGGCCCGGGGCCGGGATCTCTCCAGGACGGGGGACTGTATCCGCAGCAACAGCAACAACAGCAACAGCAGGGCTCCTCCTCGTCCGGCAGTCCACAGCAGGCCTGTGGTCCTCCTGTCGAAGGAGAAAGCGGTCCCCCGCCTTCGTTGGCCTCTCCCGTGCCCTCACCGTACCCCTCGGCACCGCCTGAGCCTCAAGCCTTAACCCCACCCGACGACGACATACAATCGAGTCAAGCCACCTCTCAACAACAGCAGCAACAGCAACAACAACAACAGCAGCAGCAGCAGCAGCAACAAACGCAACAGCAAGTGCAACAACAGCAGCAGCAGCAGCAGCAACAACAGCAGCAGCAGCAGCAAGTTCAACAGCAACAGCAGCAGCAACAACAACAACAACAACAGACTCAACAACAAGATCATTCGCCTCAACAACAACTAACGCCGCACGAAGTGGACCGTACCGACTGTTTTCCTGGCGCTGGAGAGCTGCAGCAGTATCCACAGCACTATTTCAAAGAGACCAGGCCCCATCCATCGCCATCCGTACCCCCACACATGCTCACACCGAGTGGTTTCTCCGCGTTACATTATTTAAAACAACCTGGCGTAATGCTTACGTCCCTCGGCCAAGGAGACGGTGGGCCCACATTGGATCCTCATCAATACGCGAGCCCCGGGGCACCGAATATGAGCACCGGTTTGCCGGACATCGTCCAACAGAGCGGCAAGTCGGGAAAAGGAGCGAACAGCGATCTACGTTTGTTCAAGTGTCTGACTTGCGGGAAAGATTTTAAACAGAAGTCGACGCTACTACAACACGAGCGGATCCATACGGACAGTCGGCCATACGGGTGTCCAGAGTGCGGGAAGCGGTTCAGGCAACAATCGCATCTAACGCAGCACCTTCGCATACACGCGAACGAGAAGCCGTACGCTTGCGTTTACTGCGAGCGTACGTTCCGGCAGCGTGCGATCCTCAACCAGCATCTGCGCATCCACTCGGGTGAGAAGCCATACCAATGTCCGGAGTGCGGAAAACACTTCCGTCAGAAGGCGATCCTGAATCAGCACGTCCGCACACACCAAGGCGAGCATTTCTCTCTGCCTCCCAGACTCCCAGAGGGCGTCCACCACAACCACACATGACCCATTCACCGGTTCTTTACTGTTACTATCGCCGCCACACCATCGTCATCTCTCTCATCGTCATCATTTGAGAAAATAGAATATAATACCGTTCGATACTTGTCGCATCATCGTATTTCATCCATTCGCCATTCGTTTCGTTCGACGATCATCTTTCAGCTAACTAACCAATCATCCCCCTTTTGTTTTTGCGTTCTTTCATCCAGCTAGTTTTTATCTGCTTATCGTATTCCCTATCCCCCATCCCCCTTCCCCTCCTGGTACCCATTGTCGGTTCCCAGCGGACAGACGCGATTCGCGGGTGTTTGTTCGTTTCGAAACGAATCAATCACACGATCGAACGCGCGAATTCGTTGAAAATCGATCGAAACATCGGCCACGTCGCGTCGGCCGATAGACGCAAGAGTGCTGGTGAGCTGTGAGATATAGCAGCCTCCCTCTCCGATCTCCCGCATCCTCAGTCTAATCTGATCCATCTAATTCTACCGCCCTCTATATCGTTCGATTCGACCACGATACTTAACGCAACTATAATTATCGCATCTACTTTTAACGCCACCTCACTTCCAGCTAACTTCCCTACTAAACGCATCCTATCGCGAAGGTGGAGGAGGTGGATCTCGGACCTGGTTATCCCTAATCGGTCAACGACCGTAAGTCTCGCGTTGCTTCATTAACTTCCCTAGATCGCGACTACTCTATTCGTATCTGAAGAATGATAAAAGAAAAAGATAAAATGAGAAACGAAAACGAAAACGAAAACGAAAGGGCAAAAAAGCTTGTTGGGTATTTTTGGTGCATTCGTCGCGATTCCTGATTCTTCCAACCGTTGGGCGTTGTAGTTAGTATGTTTAGTGGCCGCGCGTAGTACCGTAGTCCGGGCAACTAACAAAAATATTCCACCGCTACCAGAGTCCGCCTGGTAGGCCGAGGATGAACAGATTCGTATGTTTGTTGCAGACGTGAGCCCGCATCTGATCTTCAAGAACGGGATGACGCCGACGCTCTGGCCGCAGGACGTGCCGTTCCCGCCTGAGGAGGGCAAAGAGGAAGTTGCATCGACGTTCGGTGACACGGACACCCAGTCGGGAGCGTTCAGCCCGGCGCCGGACGCGAATTCCATCCAATATCCCGCCTACTTCAAGGACCCGAAGGGTGGCAATCACGCGGTCTTCGGTCCCGCTGGCACCGGCAGCTTCGGTGCTCTCCAGTATATCAAGCAACAGGGCGGCACCAAGAGCTGTTTACCGGACGTGATACAACACGGTCGCTCCGCGGGGATGCCGTTGTACGTACGATGTCCGATCTGTCAGAAGGAGTTCAAGCAAAAGTCCACGTTGCTGCAGCACGGTTGCATACACATCGAGTCGAGACCGTATCCCTGCCCGGAGTGTGGTAAGAGGTTCAGGCAACAATCTCACCTGACCCAACACCTTCGCATACACACGAACGAAAAGCCGTACGGCTGCGTCTACTGCGGACGTAATTTCCGTCAACGCACCATCTTGAATCAACATTTACGTATCCATACCGGGGAGAAACCGTACAAGTGTCAACAGTGCGGCAAAGATTTTCGTCAGAAGGCGATACTGGACCAGCATACGCGCACCCATCAGGGTGACCGACCGTTCTGCTGTCCGATGCCGAACTGTAGGCGGCGTTTCGCCACCGAACCCGAGGTCAAGAAGCACATCGACAACCATATGAACCCGCACGCGGCCAAGGTGCGTAGGAACTCGAGCAGCGATTCGAAACCACCCGGTACACCGGCCGGTTTAGGTCCAGTACCGGTGCCCCGAGGTCTCACGCCTACGGTCGTCAAGCCGGAGCTCTATTTCCCGCAATGTTACGCGCCCGCGTTCAATCATCAACCGCCAGTGTCGACGGCGCAGTTCCCGGCTCAGGCGAACGGTGTATCCGTTGCCGGCGAGTTCAAACCACCGACTGGTCTGCCGCCGCAGTGACTAACCGTCCATCCTGCCGCCTACTAGCAAGCAGGAATACCGCTGAGGTTTCAGCGATGCTTCGGTCACGCGTTACAGAGCGACGCGACAGCGGCAGCAGTCGCAGCAGCAGCAGCAGCAGCAGCAACCACCACGTCCAGTGTCGCGCCGCACCGATGCAGCCAGCAGCCGATCCAGCAACACTACCCGTGACATTTATCGTGCATTTACTAGGCTCTTTCTTTTCGTTTCGCGATTCGCTTACTTTCCTCGTTCCATTGCTTCGCGCAGCCTCGGGACCCCTCACGGCCAGCTAGTCCTGAGCTCGACGGTGATCGACCGGTTTCCCATTCTTTCCATCAACGATGCTACTCTACTTCTAACTTCTACCCCCATCCCCTTTCCTCCGACGAACGTAGACCAACAGTCGCGGAGATCGCCAAAGTACACTTACGATAAGCAACTGTTCTCTGATCACCGATCATCGTTACCTGACGAATACTCTGCTTCACCGGACGCAGCCAACCGAGACCGTGTTCTACCACGGCGTAACACAATTACTATAGATAGTTTAAACAAGATAGAAAGTAAATCCAGTGGGATATATCCAACGAGCTACGCGACTGTCGAAGGATTCGAGAGGGAAAGAGGAGGGCAAGCTTGGTGCGGCAAGCCTTTCTCGTCGTTCACCGTCGAGCACATCACCGGCGTCGATTGAGTGAATCAACCAACGAAGAATCTCGTCTATTCCCCTAAACCTCCCCGATACGTATTTTTTATATATATTAAATGAATTAACGACGTACCTTGTCGCGTTTTTTTCGTGGATACGCGAATAGCTCGAGAGAGTTCGGTGGTTCAGCGCGCAGGCAGGCCGTCCGAGGTGTCGTTCGTCACACCGCTCATAAATACACATCACTACAGACACACGAAAACACGCATACTCGTATACGCCGTGTTTCGTAAAGACACACGGGGGGGAGGGGGGGTTAATATTAATGTTCCATCTCGATCAGAACATTGCCCGAATGAAACAAAAAGAATAATCTAAACGATTGTGATACGATATTTAACTTGCCTATCTTTAAAGAGACAAAGAAATGGAAAGCAACAGAATGCGAAAGAAGAAGCAGCAAAATGTGAGATACGTTTGCCTCGATAGAGGAAGGTGAATACACGACCACGAGAGGAATGCCTGTAAATATGTAAAGCCGTTCACTTCGACGAACAAATAACACGGGGAAAGGTAAAAAAAAAAAAAAAAACAGGAAGAAGAAGAGCACGTTGAAATGGCGCGAAAAAGAAGTGCGTGAGTGCGTGAATGCTTTACGTGTGTGAAAGAAGGAGAGAAAGAGATGCTCGAACGCGGGGGTGGAAGAAGGACGAAGAGGGTACGAGAGTGGGTAAAGGATCGTTGAAGAGATACACAAGAAAAAAGAAGGCAAAAATTGAAGAAGTAACAGCAAAGAAATAAAAGAAGGTAAAGGAAAAAAAGAAAGAAAGAGTGTGGGAGAAAAATGTGCAAAAGGATGAAGAAGAAGAAGAAGAAGAAGAGAGATTAGGCAGGATTTACGAGGACGGTGTATCCCCCCAGTGTGCTGAGCCATAATTTTTTTTTTTTTTTGCTTTTTTTTTCTCTCTTCGAGGTACGACAAGTTTTTGACGACGACGCTAGTTGCGCAAAAAGGGGAGGGTACGACTCTTGTATACTATAGTAATATTTGAATGTATATTTATACGACAGGTTATATTATTCTATTAACTATAATGATGATATTTTGAATCGGTTTTAAAATCAGATTGGTGCTGAATTATAACACTAGGTAAGCGACAATGAAAACAAGAAAAAAAAAAACGAAAGAGGAGGGAACGTGGAAGAAGGCTGAGACACCGTAGAGTAGCGTAAGTAGGGTTTAGTCGATAGAGAGTATAGCTCGAGATAAAAAAAAAAAAAATGAAACAGTCGAGAATAGAAGGAGGAAAAGAAGAAAATGAAGAAAACGAAGAAAAGACTTTCACGAGAGTCCGCTCATCCGAAACTTAATAATAATGATAATAGTAATAATAATAATAACGCAATTTATCATCACATCAACCGGTAAAAAAAAGAAGGAAGAAATGAATAAATATTTCGTGGCAATATTATGATAAAAAAAAAAAAAAAAAAATGAAAGAAAATGATGAAGAAAAGTAAGGAACACACACGAACACAAACACACACAAAATATTGAAGAAAATTTCAACGTACTAGAGAATAGTCTTTTAAATTTCTATATTAAGACGTGTGATCTCTCTAATTATTGTACATTATATATATATATAAATATATATATATGATCTATAAACTATAGATGACGAGATGCATAAGTATATGATTACGATTATACGTATATTAGGCGTTCTACAGTTAGTCTTTTATCATTTAGACACAGAGATGATCTGAAGATGAATAATTGTGCGGCCATATTCTCTGTGGCCTGTTCGTAGTGCCTCGGAATTGCTGCTCGCGGCAGTGATTTGACCGTATTTTAGGATGGTATATTAATTAATTAATTATATTGAGAACTGCAATTATCGATACTCTGATACAGTACTAAAAAGAAGTGGAATAAGATGAAGAAAAGAAAAGAACAAAGGAAAGTGAGCGGAGTAGAGATGAAATAAGAATGATGCAAAAGAAGACGAAGAAGAAATAAGAAATCGTGGAAAAAAAAGAAGAAGAATGAATGAATGAAGATCGTGTCGTCAGGCGCCACGTTAATCGACTCATTAAATTATTAGAGAATCTACTTATATATATTATAAGTTGAAGAAAACAAAAAATGCAAAAAAACAAGATGAACAGGGGCGCCAAAAAGCTGGGGGGAAGATACGACGACGATGTGATCGTTCGTTTAATAAGCGTTTTTTAACCGTTGTTTTTTCTTTTTTATTGTACTCGTTGTTCTCTTTTTTCTTTCTTTTATCTCGTTAACCGGGAACGCGCATAAAAATCAAAACACCGAAGGTGGATCAAGAGGAAAGGTTTCATCTTCTTAAGATAAAGAAGCGATGTTTTCTCGTGATTCGCGGGTATTATCGTTACGGTATTCTTTTAAATCAACTCTCGCAGATTTTTACGACCCTCCTCGTTACATGTTTTCGAATCATCGACTTCTACTGTGGTTTAATTCGACGGAAAACCGCGTCGATCGTCGATATCCGTATGCCTTTTCACGAGGTTATTAAATTTTACGAGTATCCTCATCATTTCCAGATCATCCTTTTCGACTGTAGTCAATCGACACCACTAAAAAAGAAACGAACGGCTAATGATCGCTCGTGAAAAACTTTCGGTCATCCACGAATTGTGTTTCCTCTCTCTCTCTTTTTTTTTTTTCACTTTTTTTTTTGTTGGTCCGTCGAAAAATACGTGCCACGTGTGGAAACAATAATTCAATCTTTCCAAGCCCGGTGACAGAACGATTTTCCCGTGAAACGTGCGAAAATATAATTCGTCGACGAAATAATAATTGGTTTATTAGGTGCTTGTCGGCGGACGAGTAAACATTGCCGTGCTCTATCGAAAAGACAATCATTCATTGAAAACGTTCATTAATCGAACACGAGCGTGTAAACATCTTCATTAACGTGGCTGGTTTTAAAATTCATTGACAGCAAATTTTGTTATTCTTTTGTTCGTGTTTTGTACGGGTTGACGGTCGCAGTAGAAATAGCTGTGTGTAGTCAGACATTTGCCACCAATTTTTCAATCCCTCGGTTAGAATTTTGTTTTTAATTTGCATTTGCATTTACTTGCATTTACTGTTATAAATTTTTTATAAATTTCTTTTGAGTATTTGCGACCCTCGGTTGCCAAGGGACGAGAAGGGGAAAAGAGAAAAACGACTAATTGTTGTAAACAAATTGTAGATACGAATGAATCCTTGTTTTTTTTATATATATATTATTATTATTATTATTTGTTCTAACTCGTCGTACTCGATGTAGCGATATATCATCTCATATCTTATTATTATTACCGCTATTAATTATTAATTATTATTAAGTTTCTTTCGCGAGAGATTTTGCATACGGTGCAGTGGTTGGTATCGTTCGTTTCCCTATTTCTTTTTTTTTTTTTTATAGAGTTTTTTTACTTTTCCACCATCGTTTCCACCCACGCAAACACACATTTTCATCGTACCCTTTGTTAGAGATTGTTTCGTGCCTCTCGTTTCCTTCTGCCCCCTTTCTTTTTAATTTTGTTAATCGACTACTAGTGCTTATGCTTAATTATACTCTTAATCTCGCAGTCACAAAATCGGTCGTGTGATATACATACTATATATTTATTTATAGTGTGTCGCGAAAGAAAACGTTGTCGGATTGGTTTTAAACTGTTTAATCTTTATATACATAAATATATATATATATATATATATATATAAATATAAATATTTTATACAAGTCGCGAACCGTACTTTGCAAAACGCGCGATAGCCAGCTGATCCTGGCACCGACCACAGGGACACGTTATTTTTTATTTTTAAGTTCTCACACACATACACATGCGGGTCGCCAGAACTCGTTGCGAACCGACTCGAAACTGGTTGGACGACGTCAGAAGCTTGTGTGGTGCCATTTCGATCGACGAAACACGTTCGTTCGACCGTCGTTGTCGAATCAAAAGGGGAAGAAAAAGAAAAAGAAAAAGAAAAAGAAAAAGAAAAAGAAAAAAAAAATTTGTGGGTGGGTGGCAATACAGGTACTGTGATATCGATTCACTATAGCGATAATAAGAGAAAGGAAGAAGATAAGACTTTGAGAGGAAAAGTCAAGATAAGGGTAGCAGCCGATCGGATGATCCACGAGATTGTTATCGTCGACACGTATACGATGTTATTGCTCTAATGTTTATTTATAAGCGACTTCTCTATTGTAATGTGTACAGTATGGCACGACGAGTAATCGTGGATTATCCGGCCTCGACGAAACGTTCTTGTCCTGGCCTCTTTGTACGACGCTGTACAGGGAGGGAAAATTGTCGTCCCGGCGTCGATCGAATAACTATTTCGCGATAGTAGACGTCGTTCAACTATTTATAAACGTTAGGCACGTTGGCAGAATTAGGATGTATCTTTTATTTTTTAAATTATTTCAATAATATTCCTGAAAGGAAATGGATCGCAACGTTTTCCGACGACCGGAAACGTCACGTGCATACACGTACAATCACATATACGTCTGTATACGTAAACCAGAAGGGAAGAACAAGGCGATCAGTGTTTCTCGAATTTTGTTTTTATCCCCTTCATTATTATTATTATTATTATTATTATTATTATTATTACTATTATTATTGTAATATTTTGTAATTTTGTTTTCTCTTGTCTCATCCAGCTAGATTTTCGGTTGTGTGCTATCGAAACTTGGAGAGTGTAACCGTTGTTGGCTCGTGTCATCCTCGTCGTCCACTGAATGCTCAACATAGATTAGGTTATAAGCTTTATATATTTACCTATAACGATTATGTAAATTATTGTTTTTCTTTTTCCATCCTCCCTACCCCCCCTTTGATAAGACTCAGGGCTACGGTTCCGTAGAACCAAGCCTCGCGACAGGATGACACGACCCGTGACACGCATCTCTCTTTTTCTCTTGTCGATTCCTCTCTTTTATATTCTAGTTACGTTCTGCTCGCGTTCGTTCTCTTCTTTTGTTTTTCATTTCACCAACACACCGTTCACGACCGTCTTATACACGAGTTGTATCGTTAATCCTTTCGCAATTAACAGCGAAAGGGTTGATTTATAAGCGGCGACGTAACAATAACGTCGCCACCACACCGCGAGATCTCGTTTTCAAAATTTAGCTTTAAAAACCTTCGATGCGGACGCCGATGCAGGTGCAATACGTTACGGATGTGCGTACGTACACACTTTAGGATCGTGTCGCGATGCGTTGAAAACTATTATACGAGTTTTATATTGAAAAGCGAAACGAAAATAACGAGGGAACGGGGAAGAGGTAAAAAGAAATTTCGCGTCCAGGTTGGAAAACATTTGCTATTCATTTCTGTTAATTCGTCGAATGTTCTAATAAAGGTGGATAATGAAAACTGTCGATAATAATCGATACGTTATCGGTGTTTTTCCACCTTTATAACGCGACGATAAACCGTTCGCGCGTTTTTGTAAGCTCGACAAAACCGAAAATTCCTGTCTCTCTGCATTTTTTTCTTTTTTTTTTCGTCGCGTGCATTTCGTCCATCCGTTTCCTTCCCGTCGCTCCCGTGATCATCAGATTTGTTTCGCGTGTACTTAGTGTTTCAACGCACGCGTAACTCGTCTCTTATTTATGTACGTGTACGTATAAATAAGATATAAATATATATATATATAGATTTTTTTATATGTATACACAAGGAACTCGCACGATCGTAAATGTAAAGAGTTAAAATGGAAAAAAAAGGAAAATACAGAAAAACAGTAAAAATAATAGGGAAGAAAGGAGGAAGTGAAAAGATAGACAAGGGATCACCGAGCGGACGCGTGTGGCGCCGGTGATGTATTGTGTCGTGTTTTTTTTTTTTTTTTTTTTTGTATGTACGATTTTATACGATATTTTACAACGAGAGCAGCGAACCACTGAGCCAAGACTGACCTCTTTGTGTTTTGTTTTCCTTAATATTTGTTTCTTTTTTTAGCTCAAAATTTCGTTTCATCCCGTTGTATTTTTCTCTATTCGATCTCTCTTCGAATCATCGCGAATCAGCCACTGTTTTTTTTTGTAACGTATTTTAACGAAACAGAGAGAAAGATAGGGAGAGAGAGTGTGAGAGAGAGAGAGAGAACGAAAACGATATAACAAAGTATATCTTTCCTTTTTTTTAAATAAAAAAAAAAAAAAACAGTGAAAAAACATACAGAAGAAAACTCCTCGCAAAATCACTCAATAAATTCTGAATAAAATCTATTTTCTTATGTATTTTAATCTTCATTGCGCTTCTTTCTTTTCTGCTTTTCATTCGATTATTATCCAGCTCGAGAGTTTCTTTTTATACACTGTTCAACACCTTACCTACCATTTGATTAATTTTAAAAAATTTCGCCGATCGCAGCGGTGTACAGTAGTTTTTTTTTCAAATCGAAAAACAAAACGATCGTATTCTGAATAATTGCAATTATACCGTGACGCACTACACACGGCCATTTCCACTGTATCAGTTAACGCGTTAATTGTAGCAATTTCATTATTTCCATTGATTTAGAGAAGAATCTTTAACGATCAAAGGTTTGTTAATTGACGAAAGCTCTTAATGAGCTTTCAGTTGGTAAGGCGTTAACGGTAACAACGCGTAAGCGACAGAAAATATAATTTCATTTCTTTTTTTTTTTTTTTTTTTTTTTTTTTAATAATCTTTTCCTTAGTTTGATTGAGTCTAGGTACAGTTCTCGTTGCTGTTCAAGTCACATGCAAAATTACAATGGAACCGGGTTCTTAATATTTTGTGACTGACGAGTGTCTTCGCGATGGCACGGATCCGATTCGCTTCGAACTCGGCAAACATTCAAAGATACCGATCAAAATTCCTGTTCCCTGTCTCTTTTCGTCCCTGCTCGATCCATCTAATCCTACTAGTGTAACCAATCTAAAGCTATCCTACTTCGATGATACATCGTACGCCATTCGAATTATAATTAACAG